GGGGGGCCCCGCGAGGGCCCCCAGAGGCCGAAAACGCCGAATAACCTCCACACTGAATTGCACACCTCCTCGGGGAGGAGGAGGAGGAGGAGGAGGAGGAGGAGGAGGAGGCGGATGGAGGAGGAGGAGGAGGAGGGAGGAGGAGGAGGAGGAGGGAGGGAGAGGAGGAGGAGGAGGAGGAGGAGGAGGAGGAGGAACAACACGTTGGAGGTCCGGGGTGCACATGAAACGCGCGTGTGAAACGGTCGCACGCATCGCGGGCGAGGCGGTGGGGGCCCAGGAGCCGCCCGGATGCTACGCGCCGCGCCCGTCGCCCGGCCCTCGCGGCGCGCAGCTGGCCACGAGGCGGTCCCACGTCGCCTGGATGGCGCAGAGGTCGTCCCGCAGCAGCTCCATGTCCTTGCACGGCTTCCCCCGTGGCCGTAGGCGACCCGAGGAGAAGGTGGAGGAGGAGGAAGTGGAGGAGGAGGAAGTGGAGGAGGGAGGAGGGGGGAGGAGGAGGTGGAAGAGGAGGAAGTGAGGGAGGAGGAGGTGGAGGAGGAGGAAGTGGTGGAGGAGGAGGAGGAGGAGGTGGATGAGCAGGAGGAGGGAGGAGGAGGAGGAGGAGGAGGAGGAGGAGGAGGAGGAGGAGGAGGAGAAGGGAGGAGGAGGAGGACGGTTCGCCGAAGCCCTTCTGAGAAACCCTCCACATGTCCTGCACCACGAACTGGATCTGCTTCTGGTGCTGCTCACCCTGCCTGATCTCCTCCTTTGATCAGCCAGCAAAGGACCCCTAAGTCTTTGGGAGAGGACCTATGTTAAGAGGGCCAGGAACCTTTGGGATAGGGGGTCTCTGCAGATGTATCGAAGCAAATCGCCCAGATGCATTATCCCTACTGCGAAGACGGGGACCTAAGTGAGGCCACGTCTTCATCGTGGTATGAGGGTTCGGAGCTATATGGTTCCCGGTGATCCTTCTTGAGCTGCTCCATCTCCTCCACCACGCGCTCGACCTTGCGGCCCACGAAGTCCTCGAAGTCCTGCCTCAGCTTCTGCACCTGCTCCCGGCGCTCGGCCTTCTCCTGCCCCGGGGCGCGGGAGGCAAAGGAGCAGGGGGGGGCATCTCGCGAGAGGGGCGGAGAAGAGGTGACGAGAAACAAGCTACCCAGACCTCCAAAGTATTGAAAAACTCAGTGCTGCCCTCGCCGGGCCCCGGGGCCGCCAGGAAACAACTCACGATAGAAAACCGGTCCTGGGGAACGGGTCGGGACTCTCGGAGAACCCGTGCTGAAGAAAACATTACATCGGAGTTCGGGCTACAGTGGGGGCTCGGCCACAAGAAACCTCCGCAAAAAACCCAACCCTGAAATACGCGAATTGTTCAGTGAAAATCCACATGCGTCGATCAAAAATGATTGGGAGCCCATCAAAATCCGAGAGACCCAGGGCGCCCTGGCAAAACCCAACTGGTTTCTTGGCACGCGCCCCCACTGTAGGTGCGCTCGCGCCCTAGCTGACATCCTAGCCCTCACACCCATCCCTGCCCATGGCGCTGACGTGTTCTCTGTCCGCGGACGCGCATCCTGGCGGACCTGGAAATCCAGAACGGGCCCTCTCGTGCTGTGCGTAACCGGGAGTGGGGCGCTGCGTACAACATTGGATGAGGAGGAGGTGGCGGATGGGCAGAGAATAGCGTAAGAGGGGAAATGACTGCAGACGGGCTGAAGAAGGCGAGGAGGAGACGGAGGAGAGGCGAGGACGAGGGGGAGGGAGGAGGCCTCGTTGCGGCGGCTCGTCCGCTGCAGGGGTCGAGGAGGAGGCGGAGACAGCGGCAGAGGAGGAGGCCAGCGGGCGAAGGCGGAGGGAACTGGGAGCAGGGGGGGCCAGGCGGAGGAGGAGGCCAAGAAGGAGGCAGGGAGCAGGGAGCAGGGAGGCCAGGGAGGGAGGCAGGGAGAGAAGGGCGGAGGCGCGGGCCCGGGTCGGGGCTGGGCCTGCCTGGAGAAGGCAGCGCGCGGGAGCCCGGCCCCGCTCCTCCCCCGGGCGGGCCACCAGAGGCCCAGGGGACTCGAGAGGGAGGGAGGGAGGGAGGCAGGGAGGGAGGCAGGGAGGGAGAGGAGGGAGGGAGGCAGGGAGGAGGGGGGAGGGAGGGCCACCAGAGTCCCAGGGGATTCGAGAGGGAGGGAGGAGGGAGGGAGGAGGGAGGGAGGAGGGAGGGAGGGAGGAGGGAGTGAGGGGGCAGGGAGGGCCACCAGAGTCCCAGGGGATTCGACCTCGAGATGCTGCGCGCCTGGGGATTCCTGAGATAGACCCCGGAGGACCCTTTTCGATCTCGTGTTCAGCGATGACGCCGACGAGAAAGATCGCCGACGACGATCGACGCCCGACGACGACCGACGACCGACGACCGACGACCGACGATCGACGCCCGACGACGACCGACGACCGACGACCGACGACCGACGACCGACGACCGACGACGATGACGACGACGACGACGACGACGACGACGACGACGACGACGACGACGACGACGACGACGACGACTACGGACCACGGACGACGGACGACGGACGACGGACGACGGACCCACGGCAGCGCGCGGCGAAGCGCCCGCGGACAGCCGCTCTCCTGCTCGAGGGTCCTTCGGGCCTCCTGGACCTCCAGCATCCTCTGCTCGTTGTCCGCGAGCACGGCCTAGGAGGCGCGAGCGCCGCCGTCGCCGCGGCCGCCGTCACCGGCGCCTCCATCTCCGCTCGCGGGGGAATCTGGCCTGGACCCCCCGCGCCGAGGAGGGAGCACGGCGGAACACGTCTCGCCAGTGTGGCCACTGGGGGCGCCTGGGGCTGGCAAGGCCGCCGATCCGGCGTGTGAGGTTCCAAGGGCCTAGGCTGCAGCCCAGAGCCCGAGCTTCAGCTCTGCCAGGGGGGGTTGCCCGGGTGGCTCTGACGGGGAAAGAGGGGGGGACCCCCCTTCTGCGCCTGGGGGCCTCGGACACGTCAATATGTACAACTCAGGACCTCTTCCCCCCTGGACCGGCGGCACTGGCCAAAGGCCCTTGCAACAAACGTGACGGACCCACGACCCCAGCAAGGAACTTGGATGTCGCTGTCTTGTGGCGCGTCTGCCATTCACGTGTTGCGATGGCTTAGTGTTATGCTGTGTTGCTTGTTGCGCTACAACGTCCAGGGTGGTCCGGTGGGTGCTCCGGACACTTCGTCACGAAGTTCGGAATCGTCAATCTTAACTAGCAACACAGCCACCACCACCACAACAACCCACCACCACCACCACCACCACCACCACGATCACCTCCATATCATCATCATCATCATCATCATCATCATCATCATCATCATCATCATCATCGTCATCATCATCATCATCATCATCATCATCATCATCATCATCATCATCATCATCATCATCATCATCATCATCAACAACATCATAATCATCATCATCATCAGCAGCAGCAGCAGCATCAGCATCAGCATCAGCATCATCATCATCATCAGCATCAGCATCCACATCATCGTCGTCATCATCATCATCATCATCATCATCATCATCATTGTCATCATCATCATCAGCAGCAGCATCACCATCATCATCATCATCATCATCATCATCATCATCATCATCAGCATCAGCATCATCATCATCATCATCATCATCATCATCCTCATGATCAGCATCATCATCAACATCGTCATCATCATCATCATCATCATCATCATCATCACCATCATCATCGTCAGCATCAGCATCAGCATCATCATCAGCATCAGTATCAGCATCTTCATAATCATCATCATAAGCATAATCAGCATCACCAGAATCGTCATCATCATCATCAAAATCAGCACCATCATCCTCAAAATCAGCATCATCAAAATCAGCATATCATAATCGCCATCGTCACCATCCTCATCATCATAGGTCCACCGTCATCATCATCATCATCATCATCATCATCATCATCCTCATCATGATCATCATCATCATCATCAACATCAACACCAACATCATCATCATCATCATCAGCATCAGCATCATCATCATCATCATCATCATCATCATCATCATCATCAGCATCACACTCACACTCACTGTAAGTATCACCACCATCACCACCTCTGTCATCATAATCAGCATCATCACCATAAGAATCGTCATTGTCGTCGTCATCATCACCATCACCATCACCATAACCATCGCCATCACCATCATCATCATAATCATCATCAGCAGCAGCGACATCGTCAGCAGCAGCATCATCTTTATCACCACAGTGATCATTATAATCATCATCGTCATCATCGCCATCATCATCATAATCATCATCAGCATCATCATCATCAGCATCATCGACAGCATAATCATCACCAATCATCAGTATTATCATCAGCAGCAGCATCATCACCATCATCATTAACCATCAGCATCATCATCAGCAGTATCAGCATCAGCATCAGCATCAGCATCAGCATCAGCATCAGCGTCATCATCATCATCATCATCATCATCATCATCATCATCATCATTGCGCGGCTATCGACAGCTACGCGTGGGCCCGAAGGGGCCCCCGCCCATGGCCACAAGGAGGGGGCCCTCCTGCTTGAGCAGGTCCAGCTCGGCGGCGGCATGGTGCACGAAGCTGTGGGCCTCGTTGAAGAGCTTGACCTCGGCTCCCGATGGAGGCCCGGACCTCCGACGTGTTGACAAAAGTCGAGGCAGAGCCTCTTCGTCAATTTCGGCAAGAGGGGCGGCTCGGGGCCCCTGGCCGTCACGAGACGATCCGGGATGAATGACTGGTCCCTATGACGGGGTCAATAGATCCGGGGGGGCGGTGTCTCGCAGTCTCATCACCATGGCGTAGAGCCCAACCCTTTTGCAGATGGGGCCACGAGTGGTGTGAGAAATGGACCCGAGTCACGATGCGGACGCAGCCACTGGGCCTTGGATGGAGCGTCCTATGAAGTCTGGAGCTCCCTGTGGGGTCACAAAACGTGTAAGGGTTGTGCCGGAATGGACCCAAGTCACCCTGCGGACGCAGCCACTGGATCTTCGGTGGAGCTCTCTCTGGGGCCACGAAGCGTGTGAGGGGCGTACCGACACGATCCGAGTCACCATGCGGACACAGCAACGGGGACCTTGGGTGGAGCTCTCGCTCTCGATCTCTCTCTCTCTCTCTCTCTTTCTGTCGCTCTCTGTATGGCGCCACGAAGAGTGTGAAGAGTGTGCCGAAATGGGCAAGAGTCACCATGCGGACGCAGCCACTGGGGCATTAGGTGGAGCTCTCTATGGGGCAACGAAACGTGTGAGGAGGTGGCGAAACGACGATGTGAATGAATGATGGTGGTGGTGGTAACGAGTATGAAGGCGACGATGCTGACGGCAACGATGACGATGACGATGAAAATGATGCCAATGCCAAGAGTGAGGAAGAGGAGAAGAGGAGAGGAGAGGAGAACGCGCGGCGCTGCGACTTCAAAACGAGGACCAAACACACAGGAGAATTCGGAATTACCCTGGCGAAGAACCCAACCCTGCTGTATTTGGGGACACTGGACGTGTGAGTGGTGTGCCGACATGGGCCCGAGTCACCATGCGGTCGCAGCCCATGGGACCCTGGGTGGAGTTCCCTCGATGCGGCCACGAAAACGTGTGCGCAGTGCACCGAAATGGACCCGAGTAACCGTGCGGACGCAGCCACTGGGGCCTTGGGTGGAGCTCCCCATGGGGCCACGAAACGTGTGAGGGTTGTGCCGAGATGGACCCGAGTCCATTCGGACGCAGCCTCTGGGGCCTTGGATGAAGCGCCCTATGGCGCCACTGGACATGTGAGTGGTGTGCCGAAATGGGCCCGAGTCACCATGCGGACGCAGCCAGTGGGGCATTGGCTCGAGCTGCCTATGGGGCCACGTAGCGAGTGAAGCGTGTGACGATATTTAACCGAGTCTTCATGCGGACACAGCCTCGGGGGCCTTGAGTAGAGCTCTCCATTGGGGCCACGAAACGTGTGAGGGGTGTGCCCCAATGAACCCGAGTCCCCATGCGGACGAAGCCACTGGGGCCGAAATTG